GAGCCTTTTCCCGGGCTGGACAAGTATTTGTGTGAAATTACAGCTGCTGAGATCAGGGCCTGAAAGACTCTCTAGGGCAGGAAGAATTGGAATGGAAAGCCCAAAACTGGGGATTGGCCGATCTCCCAGTCCCACATGGCTTTCCCATGCCTTACCACATGTCAGAGAGGATTCCCAAGGCTACTACAGCTGAGATCCTTGACCTGCCCCGCCCTGCTGCAGGGCATACTGGGAACTGAGACAGCCACTTGACTTCTTAAGGTTGCTATTGTACGAGCTCAGGGTGACTTAAGGTGGAACACACAGATGAGTAGAAAATGGTGAAAAAAGAGGCAAGCAAGTGACTTTGAGGGCAGTTAGGTCATTTCATTTGCTTGGGTCCAAAAAAGGCCATAAGAAACATTTTATTGAGTACAAAATTCATAGGTTTGGACTCTGATGAACCTGATGGCGATGTTACCATCCCTGAGGCCAGGAAGGAAGAAGACAGGACTAATCCACCCCAATTGTAGACAACGGGAACAGCGCTGGCTTGCTTAGAGGTACAGAGGAAAGCAGCATGCAACCCTGCCCTGTGGTGAAGGAAGTAGGGTGGCCAACCCTCGCTGATTGCCTGGGACTGAGCGGGGTTCCCAGGAGGCAGGAACTTCAGTGCTAAAACCTGGCAAGTCCTGGGCAAACCGGAACAAGTTAGTCACACTAGATTGAAGCCTCAGCTGAGTGCAGCTGCCTCCATGCCCCAGTGTCCTCTGTGTCTAGGTTGGCATCCAGTGGCCCGCTGTGGGGTGGCATAGACTCTGCCACTTACTAAGCTCAAGTAGTTATACCCCTGCCAGGCCTTAGTTTGCTTCTACGTCAAATCGGGTTAATAGTAGCTACCATGTAGGGGTTTGTGATGCTTGAATGAGAAGGCATGAATGTGCCTGGTGAGGCATCTGGCACATAGTAATCACTTAAATGTTAGCAATCTTAGTTATCACTCAGTTCATTCTACAAATTTGCATGTGTACGATGTGCCGGGCAATGCTGTAGGCCTGAGGAACGATGACAAAATTCCTGCCCTTGTGGAGGAGGTGAACAAACAATAAATGAATGCATCCTATTATATGCTAGGTAAGAAGACCTGTGGAGGGAAATGAGTGAGCAGGATGAGGGGGACCAAGAGTGCCGGGTAAATACAGTGGTCAGGGTAGGCCTCACTAAAAAGAAGACATTTGTACAAAGACCTGAAGGAGGTGAGGAAGTGAGCCCTCTCCAGCGAAGAGGAATCTGGGCAGAAGGAACAGCTTGTGCAGAGGCCCTGATGTAGACGCATGTCTAGTGCGTTCAGAGAACAGTAGGCAGTCTGGCTGGGCCAGATCTCAGTGAACATGGAGAAACTAGTAGGAGATAAGGACTGGGGGACGGGGGGGAGTCATAAGGGGCCTGGAAGCCCATCAAGTCCTTGGTGCCTAGTTTTACTCTAAGTAAAAGCCAGAGGGTTTTGAGCAGATGAATCGCACGTACTGCCTTAGATCTTAAAAAAGATCATTCTGGCTGATACATTGAGAAGAGACTGAGAACAGGAGAGCGAGGGTGGAGGCAAGGAGACCAGTTGGAAGACGATTGCTATAATCCAGATGAGAGAGGATGGTTAGACCAGGATGATAACAGTGAAAATGGAAAGTGATTGGACTAGATATATTTTGAAGCTGGTAGGATTTCTCGACTACATGATATAGGAGATAGGGGGCTGGGCATCATGGATGATTACGGGGTATTAGCATGAGAGCAGAGAGGGACGGTAACCCTGTTCTCCACACCTCGTATGTCCCTCTTTTTGGGAGGGAGGGTTTCATTAGGCTGTTGGGGTGCGCCTTATGATCTTTAATATCTGGTATCTTGGTTTGCCCTCATAATCATCTACTAAACCGTGGTAAGGAGGAAAGAGCATCTCCTCCCTTTACATTGTGAATCCTGCTTCTTTGAGAAGCATCCCAGGTAGGTTAACAAATTACCAGCACTCCTGCTTCCCTTCAGCAAGCCTGGCTTTCCAGCACAGCAGGTCCAACTTGGCACAGCCTTGCCATCTCTGGTCCCTGGGGAGAAAGGACCAGCAAGGCCCTGCCCTCTGGCAAGTCTGCCTCTGCCTGTCTGGGGCTAAAGATGCCCTACCCAGAACACTCCTTTCCCAGGCCCTGGCTGTCCCTCCTACTAGGAACCTGACTTCTCAGGCTGGTGGGGGCAGGGAGCCTCTGGGGAGCAACTCAGTTTGCTTCTGGAGGTTTGGCCAATCCTCACAGCTCTGCGGGGCTCAGCTGTGCCACTGCGCTGGAGGCCAGGGTGATGTGCTTGGGCACTGGGAATCAGGAGACCCTGGGTAAGACATCAGGCACCACTTCCCTAACCAGCTCCTGTGTCTCTCTCCTAAGCACTAGCAAGTGAATGTGGTCTCAAAAGAGGGCCCTCACACCCCTGACTGCACAGGTGTGGATGCCAGTTCATCCCCTACCCCTCACTTTCGTCTTCCACCCCCAACATGTACCTTCCCAGACAGACGAGTATCTTGAGTATGTCTCCTGATGCTTTTTGTTTTATAGCATAGGGAAATGGAGGCCATCCCAAGCTCTGCAAATAATACTCCCTTGGGTACCTATTTTCCCATTTTCAAAATCTTTATCTGTTCAGATGTCTTCCTCAGGTCCTAACGCAAATCTCTCCTCTTGACACTTAAGGTAACACTCCTGGGTTTGTTTGGTTTTTTTTTGTTGTTGTTGTTGTTTGTTTGTTTTTTGAGACAGAGTCTCTCTCTCGCCTAGGCTGGAGTGCAGTTGCGTGATCTCGGCTCACTGCAACCTCTGCCTCCCAGATTTAAACAATTCTCCTGCCTCAGCCTCCCTAGTAGCTGGGATTACAGACATGCGCCACCATGCCCGGCTAATTTTTTTGTATTTTTAATAGAGACGAGGTTTCACCATGTTGGCCAGGCTGGTTTCAAACTCCTGATCTCAAGTGATACGCCCATCTCGGCCTCCCAGAGTGCTGAGGATTACAGACATGAGCCACCATGCCTGGCCCACTCTTGGGTTCTATTCAGTGAAGATTTTCAGTGAAGAGTAGACATTTGCCCTTATATCACATCTGCATTCCTTCCTCAGCAACAGAATAGCCCTTCCCATTGACTAAAGTGTGAGGAAGGCCTCTGGCATCCAAGTCCTTTGCCTGTTTTGTCCCTGCAGCCCCCGTCATCCACTTCGTCTTGTTCTCTCTGTGAAGCTCAGTTGAAGTTCCCTTCCTCTGATTCTGACCCTCCTCAGCTGCTAACCTTTTTTCAAGACAAAAGCCACCCCACCCTGCCTGTGGGAAACCCTTCAAACCAGCAGCCAACAACTTCCAGTGTCAAAACCAGTAATACTTTGCTTCAGCATGTAAACAACTTGATGAATACCAACTGGCATTAATCGCCACGGTAGGATTTCCCCTCTTCCCTTCAAGAGTAGCCCTACCTGGGGACCTGTGAAAGGACCCAACTATAAGGAAAGCACTGAGAATAATTCTGCCTATCTCTTGTCCTTCTGAGAAGGTGTCTAGAGAGTAGGTATAGTATGTATGTGGTACGTGGTCTGTGTGTGTGTGTGTGTGTCGTATATCTGTGTGGTATGTACTGTGTATGTGGTTTGTGTTTGGTGTGTATCTGTCTGTATATTGTGCATATGGTGTGTGATGTGAGTGGTGTATGTGGTTTGTGGTGTATATGTGTCTGTATGGTATGTGTGGTATGTGGTGTGTGTACACAGAGGTATGTAAGCAAACATATGTTGGTGGGGAGGATGCTGGTGATCAAGTACTGTGTAGTATCTGAAAACTTTGTGGCCTCACCTTTCTTGTTCGCTTTTTATTCAATCTGAGTAGTAGTACTTCCCTTAGTACCTACTTAGTCTTTAGTAGAATGGTAGTACCTCTCAGTGGTGTGTGTTTGTGCCTCTGTGAGTGTGTGTGCATGCACACACATAGGCACACAGGTGTGTATATGTGTGTGACAGAAAAGGAGGGGCACATGTGCTTAAAGGGAATGCCCGCAAGTTATAGTCTCAAAGACTCTGCTCTGATGCTCCCCTAAAGCTCCTGGATCTTAGAATCAGGACACGTGTGTGGGCTCTGCCTCCATCCTGCATGACCTTGAGCAAGGAGCTTCTTCTTCCTGGCCTTTGTGTGTGAGCCAATGGATGGCAGCTCACTCTGCATTTAAATCACCACAGCATTTACCTGTTCATATGACATAAAAGTTCTATGTGAATCCCAAGAACCACTTTAATATTTATATTCTCAGAGCTGGACCCTGGGGCATACTCAATCAGTAGCAGATAAGATGTTATGTCTGGTTAGGAATTTATCCAGATTATACTTGTCACTAAGATAAGTGAGTGGTCCCGTGGCTGACCAGTTTCATTTTGCCCATTTTTAGCCTGAAAGTTCCACCCTCTCTGAGTCCTGGGTAGATTAGGATGGTTGTCTCTAACTGGATCTCATACTTGAGCAAATCAGGAAGCAGGGGATCTTTTTTATTTATTTTATTTTAGAGACAAGGTCTCACTTTGTTGCCCAGGCTGGAGTGCAATGACATGATCACTACTGCTCACTGCAGCCTCAAACTCCTGAGGTCAGAACAGTCCTCCCACCTCGGCCTCCTGAGTAGCTGTGACTACAGGTGCACCACACCATGCCTGGCTAATATTTGTCTTTATTGTGGAGACAGGGTTTCACAAAGTTGCCCAGGCTGGTCTTGAACTCCTAAATGTAAGCAATCCACCCATCTTGGCCTCCCAAAGTGCTGGCATTACAGGCGTGAGCCACCATGCCTGGCTCTTTATTTTATTTATTTTTGAGACAGTGTCTCTCTCTGTTGCCCAGGCTAAAGTGTAATGGCGTGATCATGACTCATCGCCACTTCAAAACTGCCTTTTATCATTTTCTTTTTTTTTTTTTTTGCATTCATTCATCCACTCCTATCTCCTTTTCAGGTCTATCTGGGAACCCTGCAGATCTGGAGAAACGTAGGCAGGTGTTCGGACACAACGTGATCCCCCCCAAAAAGCCCAAAACCTTCTTAGAATTAGTGTGGGAAGCCCTTCAAGATGTCACACTCATCATCCTGGAGATTGCAGCCATCATCTCCCTGGTCCTGTCCTTTTATCGCCCTGCTGGTGAAGAAAATGAACGTGAGTGTCCTAAACAACTCAGCGTGACTCTTATCTGGGTGCTTTCCACCACCACCAAAAAGCACTTAGTATTGGTGGCTGACAGGTTATAGCTTAAAACATTCCCCCCATTATCCAGAGTGGGCTTTCCAAAGGAAACCAGCAGTAGTACTAAGCTATTCTTCCAACTCATCCTTATTCCAAGGGTTCCTCCCCACCCCACCCCCACCCTCTTTCTTCCATTAAATCTTTTTTCAGAATGTCAGGAATCCTCTACCCTTTTAAGACATTTAATTTATTAATTTATTTATTTATTATTTTTTTAATGGATTCTTGCTCTGTCACCCAGACTGAGTGCAGCAGCTTGATCTGGGCTCACTGCAAACTCCTGGGTTCAAGCGATTCTCATGCGTCAGCCTCCTGAGTAGCTGGGATTACAGGTGTGTGCCATCACGCCTGGCTAATTTTTGTATTTTTAGTAGAGACAGGGCCATGTTGGTCAGACTGGTATCAAACTCCTGACCTCAGGTGATCCACCTGCCTCGGCCTCCTCAAGTGCTGGGACTACAGGTGTGACCCACTTGCCCGGCCTATTTAATAATTTTTTTTTTTTTTTTTTTTTTTGAGACGGAGTCTCGCTCTGTCGCCCAGGCTGGAGTGCAGTGGCCGGATCTCAGCTCACTGCAAGCTCCGCCTCCCGGGTTTACGCCATTCTCCGGCCTCAGCCTCCCGAGTAGCTGGGACTACAGGCGCCCGCCACCTCGCCCGGCTAGTTTTTTGTATTTTTTGTTGGGACGGGGTTTCACCGTGTTAGCCAGGATAGTCTCGATCTCCTGACCTCGTGATCCGCCCGTCTCGGCCTCCCAAAGTGCTGGGATTACAGGCTTGAGCCACCGCGCCCGGCCATAATAATTTTTATAACATAGAGGCAAGGTCTCACCATGTTGCCCAGCTTGGTCTCAAACCTCTGGGGTCAAGCGATCTGCCTGCCTTGGCCTCCCAGAGTGCTGGGATTACAGGTGTGAACCAACATCCCCAGCCAGGAATTCTCTACCGTTATCCAACCAACAAAACCCTGCATCTCAAAGTGCCCCCTGCCACCAATTGTCTCACATTATGGGAAACAGTAGCAAAAGCCTGACCATGTTGGGAACCATAAGTGTGACCTTACATGTGACTTGCCTAAATTTGATAGTTTGTACTATTTAGTCATTTACCTCTTTTGGATTAACATAAATAGTTACACTCGTGATAAGATAATACTCAATCCTACTATCCTCTGATATCCTCTTCCAGCCAACAGTTGTGTTTGCTATTATTCACTTTTCCTGACTTTCTATCTTGGGATTGTGGAAGCACCACTCCCATTTCTTATTGTCAACAAAAGCCCTTCAGTGACTATTTCTCTCCCTTCCTGGGATAGTGTGTGGTCAAGTTGCAAGTACCCCAGAAGATGAAAGTGAGGCACAAGCTGGCTGGATTGAGGGGGCAGCCATCCTTTTCTCAGTGATCATCGTGGTGTTAGTGACTGCCTTTAATGATTGGAGCAAAGAGAAGCAATTCCGGGGGCTGCAGAACCGCATTGAACAGGAGCAAAAGTTCTCCATCATCCGAAATGGTCAACTCATCCAGCTCCCTGTGGCTGAGATTGTGGTCGGTGATATTGCCCAAGTCAAATACGGTGAGAGCTCCGTGTCTCTTTTGCTTACCCCACTACCACCCCCATTTAAATGATAGGTCCTTTGGTATGAGGGGGCTGGGAATTGCTGAAAACCCAAAAAGATAAGATCCAAAACTGTATTCACTTCTAGGTTAGAGTTTAAAGAGGTTGTGGGAAGGAATTTCAGAAAGGAGTAGCTGAAGCTCTGCCACGAGATTGTCAGACTTGTACTCTGTGTGTCTTAGGGTTAAAAGTGTGTAATATTCAGGCCATGGAAAGGTGTGGGGATGAATAAGAGTTTGAATTTATAATGCCTGGAAAGCAACCTTCTCCCAGGTTGTACAGAGCTGAAGTCTTGTAAAGACCCTCCATGTACTCACAACCATTGCCCTCCAGATAGGGCCCACGGGAGCAGCCGTGAGATGGGGTTGAAGGAGTTGGAGGTCCCTACCCTCAGCCAGTCTCTTACTATCTCCTTCACTGTCCCTTCTTCCCCTTTGTGCTCTAGGTGATCTGCTGCCTGCAGATGGGATCCTGATCCAAGGGAATGATCTGAAGATTGATGAGAGCTCTCTGACAGGGGAATCCGATCATGTCAAGAAGTCCCTGGACAAAGACCCCATGTTACTCTCAGGTATAGACCCTGGCTACCCAAGTTCCCATTTACCTCCCTGCAAACACCCAGGCCACAGGATCCAGACCCTGTTCTCTCTTCTGACTGTGTCCCATCTCCTTCCCTGGGATTCAACTGGGGCAGCAGCATTTTGGTGGGTGGAATATAAGGATATCAGGCAGCCTAAATGAAGTTTTCCGTGAAACAAGTGTAATAAGGCCCTTGAAGGGGCTCTGCTGGTTGCAGGGGTGGGAGTGGGGGCAGGAAGGAGGGCTTACCCTAAAGCAGTCAGACACATTTTCCTCCTTACTCCCAGTTTGTCTGGTCTGTTTTAAATGTGCCCAGCTCTTGACCTTTTCCTACTGTGCTAAACCCATCATTATCCATGGGGTAGGGAGGACTATTTTTTTCTTCTAAATTTGTGTTTCATATCAAATCATGTCTAGGTATTAAAAAAAAACATTCCTTCCCATCTTCTCCTTTCCCATGTAGGGACCCATGTCATGGAAGGTTCTGGCCGGATGGTGGTGACGGCTGTTGGTGTCAACTCTCAGACTGGAATCATCCTTACTCTCTTGGGGGTCAATGAGGATGACGAAGGGGAGAAGAAGAAGAAAGGTAAGGAGCATCTGGACTGAGATTCTCTTTCCTCTCATCCCCATGGACAAACAAGGAAGCGAGGGAGCAGATCTGGATAGAAAGCATGGTTAGAAGAATCTGCTGCGATGAAGAAAGCAGATATCCAAACTCCTTGCTGAGATAAAGATGTAAATCCTTGGCTCCAGGGGGCTCTGATGAAAACCAGATCCTAGCTCTAGGCTCCCAAATCAGGTTGAATTTGAGCCTTGATTTTTGTGTCTGTTGGTGGCTTGTAAAGGGGTAAGTTATAAAGCCTGCCCTAAATAAACTGGTTAGGTGCCGTAGCCCCAAATGCCTTCCATGTACTCCTCCTCCCCCAAATTTCTTCCTCAAAGATGGGGGGTTAAACGAGCCATCAAGACTAAGAGAAAATTGACCAGAAGAATAAAATAGATTTCTGCCGAAACTGTGGGCTCTCAGTGGAAGAGACACACAGCTAGAAGAGTAGGAACAGTTAGTTCAGTCTTTGCCCCTCAGTTATTCCTGAAGGAAAGAATAAGAGGGAGAAAGAGGAAAAGATACTAAAACCAAGTCTACCCGTTTCCCTAAGCATTCCTTCTTCCCTTAGGGGAGAGAAGGTTTCTACCACATGGCTGGAGAATCATCTTGAGCTGTTTAGTGGAGGACAGTTTATGAAAAGGAAACAAAACACATTCCCTCAGGAACTAAACAATTCATTTCTGCAGCTGCCTGCAGATGAATAAGGAGGAAGCTTGCCTGGTGCTATTGAAGTAACACGGAGACACCTTTCAGAGTCTTTGCCATCAGGCAAAAACAGTTCAAACCTCTCACTTCCTAATCCTCACCCTATTTTTCCAAGCAATGTGACTCAGGCCAGGAGCAAGAGAAAGCACCTCGGGTGTGAGTATGCACTCACCTATGTGAGCGTTTTGGTGGCTATCGCGAGGATTCATGAGAGCCTCTGGCAAGAATGAATGAAAGCAGAGATGTGAGCTTCCTTTACATTTATGTCCCTTCCCTGCAACCCGACCACTTAACTGTCGCCCTTCTGGGCTCTGAGCAGGACCAACAAATTGGATCTCTTAATAGTCACTTTGGGTTTCGACCCCACTTTTTTCTTTCTTGTTCAAACAGGTAAAAAGCAAGGAGTCCCTGAAAATCGCAACAAAGGTAACCTCTCCAACCACTCATTTACCATCTCTACCTGCCCACGCTCAAACCAGACCTTTCCAGGCCATCTGCCTTCTCCCTTTTCCTCTCCATAAATCTGTTATCTCCTGCTGTGGCTCAGATGCCTCATCCTGAGGAAGGTGCAGAGATTTTTGGGGTGGTCTCAAGGTCCTGATCCCAATCTAAGATGGGACAACAGCACCCTCTGCTGTTGGCTCACAGAATGTCATGTCAAGGTTTCTCTTGGGGAGTGTGTAGGATTGATCTGCTCTTCCCAGGGAGCTGAACTCTGCTTCATTGCCCTCAGCCTGATTTAAACACCAACAGTCATCAGTTCCTGGGTTGGAAGACTTCAGGGTTCTCATGGCGGAGGGAGGTGGGGTGGGCAGTCCCTGCACCCTCCTCTTGATAGCTTCCTCATCGGTGTCCTCTTCTGGTCTGGATCCCTTCTCTGCTGGTCTTCTCAGGGGTGCTTGGAGAGAGCCCTTTCTCTGTACCTCTCTCCCCACCTCTCTTCTTTGTTCTTGCCACAGTCTGTTTTCTTCCTCCTGATCTGATGTGTGTTTCTCTTTTGGTGGCTGTGTTCACATTCCATCTCTGTCTTCTTGTTTGTGAGTCTGACAGCAGGGACTACTCAGGAAGGGTATCCTAAGCAAGGGGCTGAGCCCTGCAGGGGTGAAAATGGAGTGGTGCTGGGAGCCAGCAAGAACTGCTCTCTTGTGACACTCATAGAGATTTGTTTTTACTTTGTAACCCGCATCACAGCAGTCTTTAGAAATAAAGTCATCACATTAGAAAACCAGAGCTAAACAGAAATAATTCTTTAATTTTAGTTCTTTAACTCTTCTTTTAAAAGCAAAATGGATTTATATGTCTCTCTTTATCCCTGCTTTCTCTTATTACAGGAGGTCCCTCACACCAGCTTCTTCCCTCTTCCCCAAAAGACTTAACCCTAGGTCCCACTCTGTATCTCTCTACCTTTGTTAGGCAGGGAAGAAAGGGAATTTTCTTTTCCTATCCTTCAACTGCTAGAAGGAGCTGGAAAATACCCTGGGTCTGGGGGTATGTGTTTCTTCCCTGACAATCGAGAGAGAGAGAGAGAGAGATAAACCATTTAACAGAGCAATCTTGTGCTCTAGAAACATCTAACAACCCTCTCCTTCAGCCCCTTTCTGCAGTAAAGATTCACTATTTTAAGCACTGAGTTCCAGGAAGGATGGTTGTTTTAATAGCGCTTAGTGACATGATTAATCCCCTTGCTGGAATAAATCTGGCTTGGGACTCAGGTAGTGCCAGGAAGCTGCCACTGAAGAAGAAATCCATACCCTAAAAGCACCCCAGTTTCATCTGAAGTCATTAGAATATTATTCCAAAGGCCCTAATAGAGTGTTGAAGGCAAGTTCCATGTCTAGCATGGGTTGCGAGTGGTCGGGACTGATGTCAGGTCCAAGGTATATTCTGGGAAAGAGACAGGAAGGTTTTTTGGTTTCCACCTGCCTGCCACTCAGTGCTACCACCTTGCCTGCTCACCTGTCCTATTTGTGTGTACATTCTAGCAAAGACCCAAGACGGAGTGGCCCTGGAAATCCAGCCACTCAATAGCCAGGAGGGAATCGACAATGAGGAAAAAGACAAGAAGGCAGTCAAGGTGCCTAAAAAGGAGAAGTCAGTGCTGCAGGGCAAGCTGACTCGCCTGGCTGTTCAGATTGGGAAAGCTGGTGAGTAGGGTACAGCCTCATTGTGGTTATCAGTGTTATCCTGCATCCTCATCACTTTTATCCCCTTCTTTCTGCACCAACTGAGACTGGCAGAAAGAAGGTGAAACTTCAGAATGGCTACTTGGGGCTAGGCAGCTGTGTCCCTATCTCCGCCACTGTTTGGTTTCTCCCTAGGCTTTTTCAGAGAGAAATGTTTTCCTGTGTGTAAGGGTTAATGGCCGTGAGATCTCTTAATCCAAATGAATGAGAAGTAAAGAGCATATATTACAGTTGGGGAGATTTACATTAGCAAGAAGGAAGATTTTAATAACTACTTACCTGTCTCTTGTTTTGGGTTGTAAATTCCTTAAAGATAGAGAAGGCTGCAGCTTGCTAGAGGCAATTCCCTAGCATAGTAGTAGGATCTGGCCAAGCACAAAGCAATAAATACCAAGTAAGGACTGGAGGAAGAAGGAAGGCTGTGGTTAGACAGGCCCTCTCTAAATGCACTCTGCATATGAGAAAGTGGCTTCTCCATCACTTGCCTCTGCATTTTCCTGTCTTACCACTTTCTTTCAATGGAGGGGGAGAATGGGGAGTGGGAAGAAGAAATAGAAGATTGCTACTTCAGTGGACATATCCCTCAAGGAATAGTTTTTTTGTTTTTTGTTTTTTGGGTTTCTTTTTGAGATGGAGTCTTTCTCTGTTGCCCAGGCTGGAAGTGCAGTGGCACCATCTCAACTCACTGCAGATTCCACCTCCTGGGTTCAAGCGATTCTCCAGCCTCAGCCACCCAAGTAGTGGGGACTACAGGTACACACCACCACGCCCATCTAATTCTTGTATTTTTAGTAGAGATGGGGTTTCACCATGTTGGCCAGGCTGGTCTCGAACTCCTGGCCTCAAGTGATCCGCCCACCTCGGCCTCCCAAAGTGCTGGGATTACAGGCATGAGCCACCGTGCCCTGCCAGAGAATAGTCTTTTACCACTGTTTATTCTGTGATTCCACCTTTCTGTTTACCACAATCATAATCAGCACATTTCTGCACTTTATACAGCTGTGTACAACTTACCTGGGGGTCTTGTTAAGGTGTAGATTCAGTTCAGAGGGTCTGGTGTGGAGCCTGAGATTCTGCATTCCTAACAAACCCCCACAGGATGCCAACACCGCTGATTCAGTTTGCACACACTGGATGGTGGGATCCATGCTGCCCACCATAGCAGCTGCTCACCACATGTGACTGCTGCAATTTAAATTAATTACAAGTAAATAAAGTTAAAAATCCAGTTGCTGGGGCACATTTTAGTTGGTCACGAGCCACATGTGCTAGCAGTGGCTGTCATATTGGACAGCACAGATAGAGAACTTCTTACGTTTCACAGAAAGATCTACTGGACTGAGTTGGCCTAACCTCTTTGTGTCCGTTCTAGTGCCCAGCTAATTTTAACTGCTGTGAAATCTCTTGCATATAAACTATACATGGATGAGATGAATTGCAGGGGCAGAATCAAACACACAGGTCTGAAACATTAAATATACCCCACCTAACCCTTGTACTATTCTCCTAATCCTTACCTTGTTTTTTTGTTGTTGTTTTTGCTTATTTGTTTGTTTGTGAGAGCCTCACTCTGTCATCCAAGCTGGAATGCAGTGATGCAATCTTGGCTCACTGCAACCTCCACCTCAGGGGTTCAAGTGAGTCTCCCGAGTAGCTGGGATTACAGGCATGCACCACCATGCCTGGCTAATTTTTAGTAAAGACAGGGTTTCGCCATGTTGGGCAGGCTAGTCTTGAACTCCTGTCCTCGAGTGATCTGCCCCTGGCCTCAAGTGATCCCATGGCCTCAAGTGATCTGCCGGCCTCAGCCTCCCAAAGTGCTGGGATTACAGGTGTGAGCCACTGCACCTGGCCCCTGCCTTGTTCTTCTTAGAGAGTACAAGCTACCTGATGGCTGGCCACTAGTCTCCTTTGTTGCTTTATTTTATATGTTAGGCCAGTCCAGGAATAGGGTGAGGCAAGTCAGATGCCTTCCACCACCTGAAGAGTGAGTTCCTTCTTAATTTTGCACCCTCAGTGGCTTGCTTCTCCACCTGAGTCCTGGCCCTAATCAAGTAAAGTACAGAAGAATTTGCTTTCATTGATATCATCATCTCTAGCCTTGCTTGGAGGCCCCTGAATCATCTGGCCCTTGGGAAAAGCAAAAACCAAAACCAGACAATGATTTAAAGCAGAGCTTTTCCCAAATATTGTGCCACAGTTAGGGACAGTTGTCCCCAGATACTGATTCCATCAGCCCTCAAAGCATTCAGGCAGCACCCATGGCAATCAGAATCCCTAGGCCAGTTGGTTTTGACCTTCAGCAGATTCTTTCATGTACTGTAATGTGTAGGGTCACCAACCGTCCCAGTTTGCTTGGGATTTTCTCAATTTTAGCAAAACCCCACATCCCTGGAAACTGTTCAGTAGTCTCGGGATGATTTGGTCACTCTACCAACGGGCCATACCAAAGACCTCTCAGTACTTTCATTTCGTCATCTTTAAAAAGGGAGTGATAATAGTAACCTATTTCACAGGGTTGTTGTGAAGTGCTTGCCTGGCCCACAGTAGGTGCCCACATAAATATTTACTGTTATTGGCATCTTCTATGTGTTCCATGACAAGAGAAAGGTTGGGAAGCACTGTTCTAAGAGTTAGCCATGCAGGTGATACACTAGCACCACAGAGGCATTGCTGTAAACAAGGTGTGAATTGTCCAGCATTCGGAGGTTAGTAGGGGAGAAGTCAAAATTGATAAACTACTAGGAAATGGACAAATACAGTCATGACATTATGAGTCGTAGGGAGAGGGTGGGTGTGGAATAGGATCATAGAATGCTGTTTCAGGAAACAGATCAACCCCCTGATTTATGAATGAGGAATTTGATCTAGGAAACAGGCCCAGAGAGGGTCAATGACTTGTCCAAAGCCACAAGTCAAGTTAGTGCAGTGCTGAGAATAGAACCTGTGTCTTTGAAATACGAAACCAGTGTTTGTTCCTTATGCTATAATGTATAAGCAACAGAGACTGGGCGGGGATTTTAGTAAGTCTTCCTGGAGATGGTGGTTTTAACAATTGGCAACAAAGGCTACAACTGATGCCATTCTATCTCTGGCTAGGGCCCTAGGAATGCCCTCAGGCCTGGGTTCATGTGACTTGTTTCTCTGGACAGGTCTGCTCATGTCTGCTCTCACAGTTTTCATCCTGATTCTATACTTCGTGATTGACAACTTTGTGATAAATCGCAGACCATGGCTCCCTGAGTGTACTCCCATCTACATCCAGTACTTTGTCAAGTTCTTCATCATCGGCGTCACTGTACTGGTGGTGGCTGTGCCAGAGGGGCTGCCTCTGGCTGTCACCATCTCACTGGCCTACTCTGTGAAGGTGAGACTGGAACAATCGTATCTCTTCCTTTAGGATAGAGATGGGAGGGAAGGGTACCATGTAACTCTTAGTGAAAAGATAAGCCATTCTATCATCTGTAAACTTTGGCTGGTGCCTCACAAGAGCAGAAGTCCCTGGTGTTAATGGAAAGACCATCTCTGTCTTTGAATGTTGAAATGACCCTGTAGAACCTTCAGAGAATGACAAAAATGGTATCTTGGATTTTTTTTTTTTTTTTTAAGACAGAGTCTCACTCTGTCACCCAGGCTGGAGTGCAATAGTGCAACCTCAGCCTCCCAGGTTCAACTGATTCTCGTGCCTCAGCCTCCCAAGTAGCTGGGATTACAGGTGTGCACCACCATGCCCAGCTACTTTTTGTATCTTTTGTAGAGATAGGGTTTCACCATGTTGGCCAGTCTGGTCTTGAACTCCTGACCTCAGGTGATCTGCCCACCTCAGCCTCCCGAAGTGTTGAGATTACAGGCATGAATCACCGCACCCAGCCAGTATCTTGGATTTCTGTGTGGGATTGGAAGATGAAATATGGAGAGATGTTGGCTAGGAAATGGCTTTGACCTATATTTAGGAGAGTCCAGTTAGTCCCCCCTCAAGTCTTTTCTCCTTTGTAGAAAATGATGAAAGACAATAACCTGGTGCGGCACTTGGATGCTTGTGAGACCATGGGCAATGCCACCGCCATCTGCTCTGATAAGACGGGCACGTTGACCATGAACCGAATGACTGTGGTACAAGCTTATGTTGGGGGCATCCATTACCGTCAAATCCCAAGCCCTGATGTCTTCCTGCCCAAAGTCCTGGACCTCATTGTCAATGGCATTTCTATCAACAGTGCTTATACCTCCAAGATTCTGGTAAGCATCTCCTTTACCTAGACACTCAGAATGGGTGGTTGGTTGGAAGGGAACATCCATTTTCTCTGAAATGAACCTGCTTACTGTTTACACTGCCTAAATTGCCATCCCTAAATTCTCATCCCAGGTGAGAGTGAGCACCATTTCTCACTCTGGAGTGAACATGTTTGGGTGAGACTATGGAAAAGTACCTGGGAGTCAATGGAGGGTTCAGGGCAAGGGCCTGTAAGAATCTATGGCCAGGAAATACCCTCCCAACTAGCATGTAAAGGCAATGTCTCTAAGGAGGGCAAGTAGAACGTATCCCAAAGTAGAATTGGGCTTATCAGAAGTAAATTACTCACTTTCTAGAAACAAGCACAGAGTATTAGAATAAGACCCACACAAGGCGAGACACCAGCACTACCACTAGAGCAAACTACAAAATCCCTAAGCCCTGGATGGCACAAGGATCACAGTTACTGCTGACCACTCTCTGCCTATCCTTGAAAAAAAACAGGCTGGGCATAGTGGCTCACGTCTGTAATCCCAGCACTTTGGGAAGCCAAAGTGGGAGGATCGCTTGAGCCCAGGAGTTTGAGACCAGCCTGAGCAATATTGTGAGACCTCATCTCTACAAAAATAAACAAAATTAGCCAGGCATGATTGCGCACCTGTAGTCCCAGCTACTCGGGAAGCTGAGGTGGGAGGATCACTTGAGCCTAAGAGGTCAAGGCTGCAGTGAGCTGAGATCACACCACTGCAGTCAAGCCTGGGCAGCAGAGCAAGATGCTATGTCAAAAAGAAAAACAAAAAAGATGCCAGGTGCGGTGGCTCACGCTTGTAATCCCAACACTTTGGGAAGTCAAGGTGGGCAGATCCCCTGAGGTCAGGAGTTTGAGACCAGCCTGACCAACATGGTGAAACCCCATCTCTACTAAAAATACAAAAATTAGTTGGGCATGGTGGCAGGTACCTGTAGACCCAGCTACTCAGGAGGCTGAGGCAGGAGAATCACTTGAACCCAGGAGGTGGAGGTTGCAGTGAGCCGAGATTGTGCCACTGCACTCCAGGCTGGGCAACAGAGCGAGACTCCATCTCCAAAAAAGAAAAGAAAAAAAAACAAAAAACAAATGTTATTTCCCCCATGAGCTCCAGGTATATAATGTGAAGGCTTTGTAAATGAGTTCGTTCCTCCCTAAGTTCTCTGCCTTGTCAAGGCATCTTACTCACTAGTGCTGTGTATATTTCTTCTCCCAGCCTCCAGAGAAGGAGGGAGGCCTGCCTCGGCAGGTGGGAAACAAGACCGAGTGTGCCCTGCTAGGCTTTGTCACAGATCTGAAGCAGGATTACCAGGCTGTGCGTAATGAAGTGCCCGAGGAGAAGCTCTACAAGGTGTACACCTTCAACTCAGTGCGCAAGTCAATGAGCACCGTCATCAGAAATCCCAGCGGTGGCTTCCGTATGTACAGCAAGGGCGCCTCTGAGATCATCTTGCGCAAGTGAGCACCCCTGACCACTCTGCTTCCCTTCAAGAGCCTCTCCTCAGGAAGGCATGGGTGCACACCCCACTCTGAACCCATGCGGATGAGGGAGCCCTCCAGCCAGGTGGTGCCATAATAACTAATATCCAAGCGTCTACTCAAGCCACGCATGTTATTTAAGTGCTTACGGTGGCTTGTTGTATTTAATCCTCACAACTCAGGAAGGTGGGTACTGTGATGATCCCAGTTTTACAGATGAGAAAACAGAGATATAAGGAAGTTAAGCATCTCACTCAAGGTGATACAGCTGACAGTGGCACAGCCAGGATTCAGACCTGGACGATCCTCAGTTTCCATTTCCTAATCTGAAAACAGAGAGAGCGGTACTCAGCTCCTAAAAGTACTACCGCCTCACTGTAACTAAATGATTCAATGTATGTGAAATGCCTTGTACATAACAAGTACTAGAAATGTTTGTTCTGTGTTCTCTTTTCCTTCTCTTTCCTTCCCATTCTCATTTCTGATTACAGGGAATTTATGTAACTTTAAAAGTGACTATTTGGCCAGGCGCAGTGGCTCACGCCTGTAATCCCAGCACTTTGGGAGGCCGAGGCAGGCGAATCATGAGGTCAGGAGTTCGAAACCAGCCCGACCAACATGGTGAAACCCTGTCTCTACTAAAAAAAAATACAAAAATTAGCTGGGCATAGTGGTACGCGCTGTAATCCCAGCTACTCAGGAGGCTGAGGCAGGAGAATCGCTTGAACCCAGAAGGCGGAGGGTGCAGTGAGCCAAGATCGCACCACTGCACTCCAGCCTGGGTGACAGAGTGAGACTCTGTCTCACAAAAAAAAAGTGACTATTAATAGATTACCCATAGATCATCAAAAGTTGACCCTACTTAGGTATAGGGCCAGTAGGGCTGAATTAACCAGTGCCCCAACTTGGCTTTAGCCACCTTCTTTTAATCAGCACATTCTTGTATAGGAAACGTCCCCCTAAACCACCACCACACAGTGAGCACTATTCTGAATACTCGGATTGAAAAAGTCTCTCTGCCTTCAAGAAGTTCAAAAGAGCAGGGGACTCACAAATGACTTGCATTGCATTCACATATGGGTAAGAACAGATGACATGGGAGAATCCTACTCTCTACCTACCTAGACCTTACTCCATCCACAGCCCACCCACCTTGGAAAGAGGGACTCCGCTGGGTGATGGACGAAGGAAATGTTTGGCCACGCTTGGAGCAATGTCTTTAGGAATAATACAGAGTGGCCAAAATGTCTGTCAATGATTGTAGAAACGTATTGAGTGGGAAGGGAGACACCGTGTTCTTACTGTGCGCCTCCCCAGGTGTAATCGAATCCTGGACCGGAAAGGGGAAGCAGTGCCATTCAGGAATAAAGACAGAGATGATATGATACGCACTGTCATCGAGCCCATGGCCTGTGATGGACTCCGGACTATCTGCATAGCTTACCGGGATTTCAATGACGCAGAGCCCTCTTGGGACAATGAGAATGAGATCCTCACTGAACTGACCTGTATCGCAGTGGTGGGCATTGAGGACCCTGTGCGCCCAGAGGTGAGAGCCTCAGGAAGTGGAGTACTAGTTCCCTTTCTAGTTGTGACCCCAGGCAGGTAACCTAACTGCTTCTCACTTACAGGGATAGATGTTTCTGTGCTTCCTGCTTCACAGGACTGCTGTGGAGTACCAGTTTGATAGAATGTGGCATTCCTAGGGTTAATGCTGTCTGAGTGTTCAGAAGCAAAGGGCTTATTGGGCTCATTATTTGACACTTCAGTATTGTCAGGAGATTGATTTAATCAGGACACCAACTTTGTCTTTAGCTCCCTCCTTTCAATCAACACATTCTTTTTGAGTAACTGCTGTGTGCTGATAACTATTCTAGACACTAGGGGATTGAAAATCTCTGCTTCTAAGAAGCATAGACAGATGGACTATAAAATTGTCAAGGCCCAGAGGCATGAGAGGGTATCATGCATGTGGGAAATTACAAAGAGCTGATATGGTTGGAGCATGGGCCAGGTGGGTGGAGAGTGGCAGAAGCTTCTGCTAGAAAAGAAAGCAGTGGCCAAATCGCAAAATGCCATCCATGCCCTGCCAATGAGTCTCGATTGTGAGTGGAGAGCAAGTTTTTACACCTGGCTCCCAAAGCAAATTTCCCCTTCAACTCGTGGTGCAATAGGGCAAATTCAAATGTGACTGCTGTAGGTAGGACAGAAGTGAGGTGGCACCTAACAATATCAACATGACCAGACCTAGCCCATGCCACATGGCACCACTTCTAGGGTGCCTCTCTCCTGTCTGCCACAAAGGGACAGACGTACAGGGACAGCTTACCAGGGTCACCACCCTCATCTGCACCTTTCCCCTTTCTTCACTCTCTGAAGGTGCCAGATGCTATTGCCAAATGCAAACAAGCTGGCATTACTGTCAGAATGGTGACAGGTGACAACATCAACACAGCCCGGGCCATTGCCACCAAATGTGGCATTCTGACACCTGGGGATGACTTCCTGTGCTTAGAAGGCAAAGAATTCAACCGGCTCATCCGCAACGAGAAAGGCGAGGTGGGTCCTGGGTAGGGGGATCCAGGACCTCCCCTGACGAGGAAAAGGCCGGTTCCAGCATAAGACATCTGGGTCATGTGCGGGAAAGTGGGTGTTTTCTAAAGTGAAAGCTATTTATAGTGAAACATCTCCTTGTACCAAAGCTGCTCATATGGTAACATTGGGAGTTGCTGGCCGGGCACGGTGGCTTATGCCTGTAATCCCAGCACTTTGGGAGGCCGAGGTGGGTGGATCACAAGGTCAAGAGATCAAGACCATCCTGGCCAACATGGTGAAACTCTGTCTCTACTAAAAATACAAAAATTAGCTTGGCATGGTGGCATGCACCTATAGTCCTAGCTACTGGGGAGGCTGAGACAAGCTTGAACCTGGGAGGCGGAGGGTGCAGTGAGCCGAGATCGCGCCACTGTAATCCAGCCTGGGCAACAGAGCGAAACTCCGTCTCAAAAACAAAAAAATGGGAGTTGCTTGTGAATGAAGCTAGTGAGCTCACTAGCTATCTTTTGAGACAGTGTCACTAATTTTTCATGTCTTTCTGCTTTTTCAGTTTTTTTTACTGACTTCCCCCTATCCCACCCCTCCTGTGTCCCTGCCCTTTGGCTGACAGTGGCTAAAGGAGAATGTGGTCTGGCAGTGGCACAGATCCAAGCTTCCTGAGCTACATAGAAATCATACCTAAGACCTCCGAAGCACCACTTTACCCACCCGAGCCAACAGCCAACCCTGGCCCACCTCCCGTTTAAGGTCTGGGAAATTGGGGATTGGCTCCCAGGTAGGGACTTGGGAGGAAAAAGAAAAAAAGCAGGGCCTGAATGGTCATCATCCATGAATCTACCCTTGGAGACTGGTTGGCTGTTTAATCTCTGCTGAAGCCAGAATAACACTGTCATGTGGGACTGTGGCGTACCCAATCTCCCAGTGGCTCCAAGTATATGGAGAAGTAAGACTTTCCTGGATAGCTTTTCTGAGTTTGACTGATCCAGGTGTGGTCTGGTGTTGGCAGGTAGAGCAAGAAAAGCTGGACAAGATCTGGCCTAAGCTTCGGGTCCTGGCGCGATCTTCTCCCACTGACAAGCACACCCTGGTGAAAGGTGAGGTTGGCTTCCAAATAGGTGCCTGCAACAGCTGAAGGCAGGCCAGGGCGAAGACAGATAAGAACCACCAGCCAAAGTCACTCTCCTGTCCAAATAGGGAGGTCCTAGGAGATCTCCCAGGCTATTTGGGGAGAACATACAGTTAGCAAACATCCGAGCCCTTGGTGAGTATGACACACAATAAAGTTGTTGGGTTTTAATTTTTTTATTTTTTGTTTTTATTTTTGGAGACAGAGTCTTGCTCTGTCACCCAGGCTGGAGTGCAGTGGCGCAATCTCGGCTCACCGCAATCTCCACCTCCTGAGTTCAAGTGATTCTCCTGCCTCAGCCTCCTGAGTAGCTGAGACTACAGGTGCCCACCACCATGCCTGGCTAATTTTTGTATTCTTAGTAGAGACAGGGTTTCACCATGTTGGCCAGGCTGGTCTTGAACTCCTGACCTCAGGTGATCTGCCCACCTCAGCCTTCCAAAGTGCTGGGATTACAGGCGTGAGCCACTGCACCTGGCAAATTGTTGGGTTCTTAAAAACATGATCATGTCTTATTTACCAATAGTACTGTGAACTAGGCAGGGCAGGTATTCCCATTTTACAAATGAGGAAGTTTGAGGCTGAGAAGACAAGTAACTTACCCAAATTGCCCAGCTGGTAGGTGGAAATGGTGCAGTTTGACCCCTAGGTCTCTGCCTTGAAATCCATCCAATGTGTTATTCATAGCTGCCTTAGGGTACCAGATGAGGACAAACGTAGTTCAGTGCTACCCATGAAACAATTTACTGCCCTTGGGTGGTTCCTGTAGAACCTCTAGGAAAGGGAAAAGGGAAGGAAAGAGGAAAGTAGAAGGAGTGGCGGGTGTTAGGAACTGAGGGGTGAGGGAGACCAGAAAACCTCACTGTGGTGTGTCTGTTTCTCCCAGGCATCATTGACAGCACTGTTGGGGAACAGCGGCAGGTTGTGGCTGTCACTGGTGATGGCACAAATGACGGACCTGCTCTGAAGAAAGCGGATGTTGGTTTTGCCATGGTAAGCTCAGCACGGCGTCTCTCTGATTGCAAGCTGCCTTCTCCATCAGAAAGCCAGGTCCGGCTTCTGGTTGCCTGCTGCTTGCTACACTGGCATAGCCCACGGGGTGCTTTTTTGTCCAACTCCATCTCTCCTATCTACCTGGTCAATCATTATATATGTAATTGGGAACCCATCAAGTATGAAGAGTAGATCAGAGGGAGGGAAGTCATGAAGGATCATATGCAGGAAAGCCAGACCAACATAAACCTGCCCATAAACATGTAATGTTGTCGACTAGGCAAACTCTAGAAGATTCATGTTTCCTATGGGAAGCGCACTGTGTGGCTGGCACCACTGGGTACTCTGCCTTTCACTTCTGAGGCCAAGAGCATCAGAATCACTTGGAAAGTTCATTTAAAATCACATGTTCCAAGGCTCCGTATTTCTGTTTTTCATTTAACTTTAGAATTATATATTTCTTTTTATTCCACTTTTAGAAGAAATAATAATAAATAATAATTTTTAAAAGAATTATAGATGTCTAACTTCCTAATTTATAACTTTCGAATTTTATTTTATTTATTTATATATTTATTTATTTATTTTGAGACAGAGTCTCACTCTGTCGCCCAGGCTGGAGTGCAGTGGCATGATCTTGGGTCACTGCAACCTCTGCCTCCCGGGTTCAAGCAATTCTCCTGCTTCAGCGTCCTGAGTAGCTGGGATTACAAGCATGCACCACCACACCCTGCTAATTTTTGTATTTTTTAGTAGAGATGGGGTTTCGCCATTTTGGCCAGGGGGTGTCTCGAACTCCTGCCCTCAAGTGATCTGCCCACCTTGGCCTCCCAAAATGCTGGGATTACAGGCATGAGCCACCACATCCAGCTTCTAATTGTATTTAACTTCCCTGATTTTATGTTTGTATCCCTTAAGCTGAAAATTTTGATTCCTAATGGCATTAACATGATTATTTTTTGTTTTATTCTAAAATATTTCAAGTGGTTACAAAATATCAATAGTATTAATAATACAATTACTCTGCCAAAAACAATTCAATATTTTTCTTATAGTTCCTTTTATCCATAGGTATATGCTACCAGGAATGTGCCATCAAATTATTGTTTTTAAGGCATTTGTAACATTTTTTTGTGTGCACTTGTGCCACCAAGTGGCGACCAGATCATTTATATCATGTTACTTTCCATTTTAGAGATTGCTTTTTAGGCCAGTGTGGTGGCTCATACCTGTAATCAATCCCAACACTTTAGGGGGCCAAGGGGCAAGGAGCACTAGAAGCCAGGATTTCGAGGCAGGCAATATAGTGAGACTCCCATCTCTAAAAAAAAATAAAAATTAGCCAAGTGTGCTGGCACATACCTGTAGTCCCAGCTACTCGGGAGGCTGAGGTGGGAGGATTGCTTGAGCCCAGGAGTTCAAGGCTGCAGTGAGCCAAGATCACACCTCTGCACTCCAGCCTGGACAACAGAGCAAGACCCTGTCTCAAAAAAAAAAAAAAAAAAAAAGAAGCAAGAGAAATAAAATACATGATTCTAAAGTCAAATGTGCAAAACAAGGTATATTCATAGAAATCCGGCTTCTACCCTCGTTGCCTTTGCCTTGTTGCTTACCTCTTAATTCAATAGGTAATTTTTTTCTATCATTTTTGGTTTATTCTTCGGTTTGCTCCTTTAAAATATAATCAAATGCGGGCCCGGCATGGTGGCACATGCCTATAATCCCAGCACTTTGGGAGGCCAAGGCGGGTGGATCACCTCAGGTCAGGAGTTCAAGACCAGCCTGGCCAACATGATGAAACCCCTGTCTCTACTAAAAATACAAAATTAGCCCAGCATGGTGGTGCATGCCTATAATCCCAGCCACTCAGGAGGCTGAGGCAGGAGAGGAGACTCACTTGAACCCAGGAGTCTGAGGTAGCAGTGAGCCGAGATCACACCACTGCACACCAGCCTGGGCAACAGAGCAAGACTCTGTCTCAAAAAATATAAATAAATTAAAAAATGTAATATATTTATGGCCTGCCCCCTTAGATAAGTGATACCATACCATAAACTCTTTTTTCTACCTTTCTTTCTCCACTTAACAACATAACTTGGAGATTATTTCATAATAGTAATTATAAAGCTGGGCGATATAGAGAGACCCCCATGTCTACAAAAAATTTAAAAATTAACCAAGCAGGATGAGCAAATGCCTGTAGTCCCGTTACTCAGGAGACCAAGGTGGGAGGGTCACTGGAGCCCCAGATGCAGAGCTTACATTGAGCTGAGTGCCACTGCACTCCAGCCTGGACAACAAAGCAAGACCCTGTCTCGAATTTTTTTTTAATTTAATTTAAAAAGAAAATTTTGAACAAAGATGAAACTTCGGAACTGTGCTGCCATACTACTGCTCCTAGAACAAATGCAGAGTTTCTCAACAGTGTCGGAATGACATGAGCTTAAATGAGATACTGGCAGTGGCAACAGAAATGTAAGAATTTGGAGGTAGAATAGACAGGATTTGCTCTCTACCTTTTAATTAGTTTCTAAGGTTGAGGGAGTAGGAGGGGAGGGTGCAAGGGATATCACAGATGACTGTAATTCCCAGTCTGGGCTCAACAGTAAGGTTGGTGACATCAGGCCCCAGCCATCCTTTCTATAGAGTGACAGTGACACATTTGCTCTTTGTTTTCTTTTGTGTGGCTAGTGTGCCCTGTAGTATTTACACCAAAGTCTGAAGCTTCCTGGAGGTCAGGAAATGGAGCCTGGGCTTTATCCACTCCCTCACTATTTTCCCTCCCATCTTACCTCAGGGCATCGCAGGCACAGATGTAGCAAAGGAGGCTTCAGACATCATCCTAACAGATGACAACTTCACCAGCATTGTGAAGGCAGTGATGTGGGGACGAAACGTCTATGACAGCATCTCCAAGTTCCTGCAGTTCCAACTCACTGTCAACGTGGTGGCCGTGATTGTAGCCTTTACTGGAGCCTGTATCACTCAGGTGAAGGGGGTGTGGGTGGGCTGAGACAGGAGGGATGAGTCAGGGGCTAAGGAATATGGGGTGGATGGTACGGTGTGTTTACTGAAGAGTAAAGACAGGGTTTCCCTGTGACGTTGGGACAGGAGTTAGCTCTTCTAAGTCCGCTGTCTTCATCTGCTTATGTGGAATGATGGTAACTTACAGGCCTTCGCTTAGCACTTACGTGTCAGCCACTATAATAAGCATTTATATGCACTATCTGTATTCTTCAAAAATGACCTTGTGAGGTAGGTATTATTATCCCCATTTTACGGGTGAGGAACTTGAGGCTCAAGGAAGTTAAGTAAGTTTCTCACAGTCACTCAGCTAGGAAGTGGCCAGATTCCAAGTCTAGGTGGGTCTTGGGAGCTAGGCCATCGACAGGGCAAAGGTGGGCTGGTTTCTGAGAAAAGCTAAAAGGACTGGTTCTTCTTCCCACCAGGATTCCCCACTGAAAGCTGTGCAGATGTTATGGGTTAATCTAATCATGGACACTTTTGCTTCATTGGCCCTGGCCACAGAGCCCCCTACGGAATCTCTGTTGAAGCGGCGCCCCTATGGCCGAAATAAGCCTCTGATCTCACGCACTATGATGAAGAACATCTTGGGCCATGCGTTCTATCAGCTCCTTGTCATCTTTATCCTTGTCTTTGCGGGTGAGCCACTTTGGGGGTGGGCTAGCAGCTGGGGTGCTGGTTAAAGGTGGAGGCAGAGAAAGAAGGTAGCGTGAGAGCAAGCACACAGACCAGGAATAAGTGCAGCTTCATCTCCCAGTGCTTCCTGTGCTCTGCTACATGGTGCATTATGCTACTGTATGTACTCATACAGTACTCTTGAGTACAGACAGTACTGTGTGTACCGTGTGTACTGTATGTACTCAATAATAATTTCACAAGGGAGGCTTTATTCTTTCTTTCTTTTTTTTTTTTTTTTTTTTTGGAGATGGAGTCTCGCTCTGTTACCCAGGCTGGAGTGCAGTGGCGCTAACTCGGGTCACTGCAACCTCCGCCTCCCAGGTTCAAGCAATTTTCCTGCCTCAGCCTCCCGAGTAGCTGGGATTACAGTCATGCGCCACCACACCCGGCTAATTTTTGTATTTTTAGTAAAGACAGGGTTTCACCATGTTGGCCAGGATGGTCTTGATCTCCTGACCTTGTGATCTGCCCACCTCGGCCTCCCAAAGTGCTGGGATTACAGGCATGCGCCACCACACCCGGCCTATTTCTTTCTTACAGATGCAAAAAATTAAGCTCAGGTCCCATAATGAGTACATAGTTGCACTAAAATTTAAACCTGTGATTGCCTGACTCCAGCGCACATAGTCTTACTACCATGCTGCACTACATGAGAGCAGGTATCAATGCAGCAAACTGAGAGGGAAGGTAAAATAAGTCAAGACCAGAACTAACATTTGAAATATGTAATAACTAGTACAACAAAAAATTAGCCAGGCATGGTGGTGCATGCCTGTAGTCCCAGCTATTTGGGAGGCTGAGGTGGAAGGATCACTTGAGCAGGAAGGTCCAGGCTGCAGTAAACCGTGATCATGCCACTGCACTCCAGCCTGGGCGACAGAGTGAGACCCTATGTCAAAAAAATAAATAACTAGTACAGCTCAGATATTGATCAATTAGAATGGACACCAGCCATAAGCAAGCAGTATAGCTGTACCAACACATTCTGACTCTTAGTTCAGACCACACTTAACCTCCAGTGCTTCTCCTCTCCCCACTAGGTGAGAAATTCTTTGATATTGATAGTGGGAGGAAGGCACCTCTACATTCACCACCCACCCAGCACTATACCATTGTTTTTAACACCTTCGTGCTGATGCAGCTCTTCAATGAAATCAATTCCCGAAAGATCCATGGAGAGAAGAACGTCTTTTCAGGCATCTACCGCAACATCATCTTCTGCTCTGTAGTCTTGGGCACATTCATCTGCCAGGTGAGATTCTGTCTGCAGTTGGGGCAGGAGATCTGGGATGATAAAGGGCAGAAGCTGGGAGCCAGGGTTGCCTACATACCTAGGAAAAGGAATGAGGGAATTATGGGGACTGGGACAGGGCTCCCTATATACCTAAGAAAAGGAATGAGGGAACTGGGGGACTTTGGGATTCCCAATTTGCTTTCTTTTGCATATTGCTCTAGAATTGGAGCCCAGTGTGTCAAGAGCTCCAGTGCAGGGCAGCATGTTGACTGGAAATAAAATAATACTTCTAAAATCCTTTCATGATCTTTCTAAATACACAGAAATTTCACAGAGTGACCAGAAAAAGTGTCGTTCTCTTCTAGTCCCTTTCTGTGGCTCCTGTCAGCCTATATGAAATGTGCATGCACATCTAGTATAGACTCTCCCTGTCCCTGCCTCTTTGTTCTGAAGGGCTTATGATAAAAAGTGTTGTGCAACTCAGAGAAAGAGAAGTAATGGGATTGTACACATATATTACATAGTCAGCCCAGCTTGCACTCCTCCGATACGAGACTATGAGCTGACTATGTAACAGAAGAGCTCCTGTCCCATCCCTCAGCAGGGTACCTCCCTTTATTTGTCCCCATCCTCAATTCCTTTTTTTTAATTTAATTTTAAAAATGGAGATGGGATCTCACTCTGTTGCCCAGGCTGGTCTCAAACTCCTGGCCTCAAGCAATCCTCCTGCCTCCCAAAGTGTTACTGTGCCTGGCCTTTTTTTCTTTTCTTTTTTTTTTTTTTGTTTGTTTGTTTGTTTGAGACAGGATCTCTCTGTCTCTCTGTCACCCAGGCTGGAGTGCAGCCTCAATCTCCCAGGTTCAGACAATCCTCCCACCTCATCCTCAGTTCCTCACTCCACCACTGTACCTTCTCCTTGTCACTAACTGGCTTTTAGTCACAGGAAGCCTCCAGCTCCCCTAACTCCTCCAGATCGTCTGTGAATCATAGTCACAGTAACTATGTCTGTCTCCCCGTCACAGTGCTCTGTAAAGGCTGTTTTTGTCTGTCTCCCCTTTGAGATTTCTTCTTTTCCCTTCCCCTGCGAGCAAATCAGGACTTGCACCCAAGGATCCTGAGGCAGTGGGATGATGTGGCTTTGGGGGCCTTGGCTGGAGGGCCAGCTGCCTGTTAGTCATTTCCTTGATGGTGGGCTGCCCCTTTCTCTGTTCTAGATTTTCATCGTGGAATTTGGGGGTAAACCCTTCAGTTGTACAAGCCTCAGCCTGTCCCAGTGGTTGTGGTGTCTCTTCATTGGGATTGGAGAACTTCTGTGGGGCCAGGTGAGTACCAGCACACCCTCCTGGTGCATTCTCACAGCCTGCAGACCTCTCCTCCTCTACAGGAGATAGATCAAGCAACCGTGGAGACCCCCCAGCTCCTCCTCTTCATCTTCTCTTCTTTCTTCCCCACCGCCACTCAAATTTTCAAGTTCTTGCCATCTCATAGGATCTCAAGGTGGAGGGATCACTTCAGAGGTTTCAGAATTCTCTAACCATGCCTGGAGGTAGAAAAATCCCTTAGCTTCTCTGAGACAGAAACTAAACTTTTCAATGGAATTTTGCTACAAAAAAATAAATATAATAAGCATCTTAGAAATAGAAGAGTTTACAAGACATGTGTCTTTATTCTCATGAGGCAGCAACCTGGCTGTGGGCTGCCAGGCTGACATAATTCAGGGCTCCCAGCCTCTTCTGTTTCTTGCCATGGCTTTATCTGGGTGGAATGCTTAACTCTTACCTGAGATAAATTCAGATTTACAAGATCTCTAGAGTAGCAGTGTGGCCTGTGGTTGGACTCTGGGAATGACTATCTGGGTTTGAATCCAGCTCTCTTTTTTTTTTTTTTTTTTCCCTGAGACAGAGTCTTGCTCTGTCACCCAGGCTGGAGTGCAGTGGTGTGATCTTGGCTCAATGCAAACTCTGCCTCCTGGGTTCAAGCAATTCTCTTGCCTCAGCCTCCCAAGTAGCTGGGATTACAGGCATCCACCACTGCACCTGGCTAATTTTTATATTTTTAGTAGATACAGAGTTTCACCTTGCTGGCCAGGCTAGTCTCAAACTCCTGACCTCATGATCTGCCTGCCTTGGCCTCCCAAAGTGCTGGGATTACAGGCGTGAACCACCGCGCCCAGCCCAGTTCTCCTTTTTTTTTTTGAGATGGAGTTTCGTTCTTATTGCCCATGCTGAAGTGCAATGGCGCGATATCGGCTCACTGCAACCTCCCCCTCCCAGGTCCACGCCATTCTCCTGCCTCAACCTCCCAGGTAGCTGGGATTACAGGCACCTGCCACCATGCCCAGCTAATTTTTTGTATTTTATTAGAGACAGGGTTTCACTGTGTTGGCCAGGTGGGTCTCAGACTCTTGACCTCAGACGATCCACCCGCCGTGGCCTCCCAAAGTGCTGGGATTACAGGCCTGAGCCATTGTGCCTGGCCTCAGCTCTCCTTTTTATAAGCTGAATCATCTTGGGCAAGTTACATAACCAATCTGTGTCTCAGTGTCTTCAACTTAGGAAAACAAGGTCATTGTTAATTAGTGAATCAGTTACTATACAGAAAAGACTTAGAATAATGTCTAATACCTTATAAATACTCATTCAAATTTTAAGCTATTAAGATTATAATAGTATCATCAAGTCTAATAGTTGCGCTTCTTCCTTAATACCACTTTACAGACCTCCCTCATCCTCCGCTCTGGCCTGGGCTGTGCCTCTCTTTACAGACCCCAGGTCTCTGCAAACAATCCCTTAGTGCCCAGCCACCCAGGTAATAGACACTTTGCCCTAACTGGCCTCGAAGAGCTCTTTCTGGAGCTTCAGGCCTTCCCCCCTAAACTTGCTAGTTATTTATTTTACACCTAGATGCCTCCCTGATTAATTTCTTTTTCTTTTCTTTTCTTTTTTTTTTTTTTAAGAGATGGGGGTCTCAGGCCATGCACAATGACTCACGCCTGTAATCCCAACACTTTCGGAGGTCAAGGCGAGCAGATCACCTGAGGTCAGGAGTTTGAGACCAGCCTGGTCAATATGGTGAAACCCCGTCTCTACTAAAAATACAAAAAAAATTAGCCAAGTACGGTGGCACGTGCCTGTAATCCCAGCTACTTGGAAGGCTGAGGCAGAATTGCTTGAACTCAGGAGGCAGAGTGCAATGAGCCGAAATCATGACACTCCACTCTAGCCTGGGTGAGAAGCGTGAGACTCTATCTCAACAAAAAATAAAGAGATGGGGGTTTCACTGTGTTGCCCAGGGTGATCTCAAACTCCTGGGCTCAAGGAATCCTCCTGCCTCAGCCTCCCAAAATGCTGGGATTACAGGCATGAACCGCTGCACCCAGCCCTCCCTAATTAATGTCTGACCCAATTCCCTCCACCCTGTTCTTTTTGGTGAATATATATATTTTTTAAATCAGTGAGTTCCTAAAGCAGTTTTATGCTTTGGTAAAGCTTGGTTGTTTCACCTGTTGTTTGAAACTCTGTTCTGGCTCTTGCCTCACATGTGGCCATGGGGCCTTATGCCAGACAGCAGCCTTCCTTCTGTATCGCAGCAGCTCTTTCCACATTCAGAAGCAGAGCTCTGGCATTCTTCCCATTTCAAAACACTTGACTCCATATCAGATTGCCCATACAGTCCCTCTTCCCCACGTGAGCCCTGGCTACTCCTCATCTTGTCTGGAAAGAAATGACTGACAGGTGCTGAGCTCACCGGGAAATTTTATTTTGAATTTCAAGCCCAATGTACTGCTCCTTGTCTTCTGATAATACTCATGTGTCCCTTCTTCCATGGACTATCCCATCCACTTCCTCATCTCAAGCCCAAGAAAACTTTCGATATCCTTTCACGAGAGTTTGTAACACAGAAACTACTTTGCATGTGGCAACTAAGAAAGGGGTCATTCATTTCCAATACCCTTCTCAACCCCTTCCCATACATATACGATATCACCATCTTCTCCCCAGACTGTTTTCCCCCAGGTCCTGGTCTCTGTCCCTTCCTACTGCATACCATGCAGTATAGTTACGTTAACCTTAAAAACAGATTGCAAAATGGAACAGAAGAAATGAGACAGAAAGAGAAAAATGAAGTATATGACCAGGCAGATGGCTGGTTGATTACTAGAATATAAGCTCTCTTTTGTGTGTGTTCGTAAATACAGAAAGCCTTCCTAAGAGCCTGACCACTGGTGGGCACTTGGAGAATGCTTGCCTGGATGGATTGGTACTTCTGTCCACTGCTCTTCCAGTGGGAAGCGTGGTAGGACAAAGAGTAACCTGCCCAAGGGCCTGGCTCATGTAAGTTGACTGACAGCTCTTCTCACGCTGATTCTGATGTCTCCCTCTTCACTGCACTTGTTTTCAGTTCATCTCCGCAATACCTACCCGATCCCTGAAGTTCCTGAAGGAGGCTGGGCATGGCACCACCAAAGAGGAGATCACCAAGGATGCTGAGGGGCTGGATGAGATTGACCATGCTGAGATGGAGCTGCGCCGAGGCCAGATCCTCTGGTTCCGGGGCCTGAACCGTATCCAGACTCAGGTACTCTGATAGTGGTCTGTCCTTCCCTTGGGAGAAGAAGCTTCCCATATTGGAAGGTGTTGGGAGGGCAGCAGTTCTTGTTGGCCAGCATCTCTTCCCTTCCAAAGGCTCACTACTGATGGGCAGCCCTAGATCCTCAGCTTCAGGACAGATAGGCAAAGGGATCTGTGTGGGGTCCTCTGAGAGGAGAGGAGTCAAATGACCTAGACCATGGGAGGCCATTAGCATAGTCCTTTAGCTCTGGGTTGACCCTAAAGCCCACCCTGCTATCCTCTGTCAAATGGGCAAGCTTCAGCATAAGGTCTCTTATGCTGAAGGTCTCAGGTCTCTTATGTTCAGTTTTTCCCTCCCTTCAGAAGGAAGGAGTTAGACAATATCAATATGCCAACATACCCAGCATTCACTTAATCTAGCTTCCACACACTGCCATTATAGGAATAGATGCTATCTGGAAGGGTCTTTGTAAAAGAAACTCACCCTGTTATATCTCTCCCATTCAAAGTGTAAGGCCATGGTGGGGAATCTGATGGTTTCATGTGTAAAAATGACAATAGTCTGTTGATGTCTGAGCATCTTTTGCAGGATTCAAACTTGGCTTCCTGACAAGGAGGAAGCAATAATTTCTTCAAGCCTCTTCCCTTCTTGCAATTTCTGAAATGGGATAGAAGCCACCCCTGCTGCTCTTATATCCCCTGCCTATGGCCCCACAATAACTTTTTTTTTTTTCCACTTTCCATGCATCAATTGTAACTACTTTCTCCTGGGTGAATGGGCTGATCTAGGCATTGATAATTCTGTCTTCCCCTGCTCTCACCCCACATAGCTTTATTGTTTTAATCCTGAGATTTTCCATCTGAAAAACACTGTAAATTCCAAGATCTCAAGGGTGGTCTCCAGAGAACAGGTGTATTTCTCTCTGCTGATTGGCTGGAGATCTTCTAAATAAGTTATTAAGTTTCACTGTCTAAAACTGGCCTTGCAAATGTTTTAGAAAGTTCCCCAGTTAGCCAGGCATGGTAGCTCACGCCTATAATCCCAGCACTTTGGGAGGCCAAGGTGAGTGGATCACCTGAGGTCAGGAGTTCGAGACCAGCCTGACCAACATGGAGAAACCGCGTCTCTACTAAAAATACAAAATTAGCTGGGCATAGTGGCACATACCTGTAATCCCAGCTACTCAGGAGGCTGAGGCAAGAGAATTGCTTGAACCCAGGAGGCAGAGGTTGTAGTGAGCCAAGATCGTGCCATTGTACTCCAGCCTGGCCAACGAGAGCTAAACTCTGTCTCAAAAAAACAAAAGGCCAGGGGCAGTGGCTCATACCTGCAATCCAGCACTTTGGGAGGCCGAGGCAGGTGGATCACCTGAGGTCGGGAGTTCGAGACCAGTTTGGCCAACATGGTGAAACCCTGTCTCTACTAAAAATACAAGCCAGGCATGGTGGCACATGCCTGTAGTACCAGCTACTTGGGAGACTGAGGCAGGAAAATCGCTTGAACCCGGGAGGCGGAGGTTGTAGTGACCTGAGACCACGCCATTGCACTCTAGCCTGGGTGTCAGAGTGAGACTCATCTCAAAAAAAAAAAGAAAGAAAGTTCCCCAGTCAACCCCACCTCCTTAGTGTGTAAGAGAGATAGATGAAGTGAGTATTCTAAACTGCATACCTGGTAGGAACTTATCTCGTATAGGCAAGACAACAGATAGAAAAGTGGAAAAGAGGCCAGGTGTGGTGGCTCACGCCTGTAATCCCAGCACTTTGGGAGGCCGAGGCAGGCAGATCATGAGGTCAGGAGTTCGAGACCAGCCTGGCCAACATAGTGAAACCTCGGCTCTACTAAAAATACAAAAATCAGCTGGGCGTGGTGGTGGGCACCTGTAATCCCAGCTATTCGGGAGGCTGACGCAGGAGAATCACTTGAACCCAGGAGGCTGAGGTTGCGGTGAGCCAAGATTGTGCCATTACACACCAGCCTGGGCAACAAGGCAAGACTCTGTCTCAAAAAAAAAAAAAAAAGAAAAGAAAAATGGATTGCAGACTCACTCTGCACCTGACTATACTTCCAGGCGGGTGCTTTTTCTGTCTGCCAGATAAACATTCCAGGGTGCTGTGGCTGTCTCACCTATCCAGGGCGATGCAGCTCCCTGGGGACACAGGTGCTTCCTGGGGAGGCCTGAGCACTTCTCCATGTTGCTGGCCTCACATCCAATTGGGCAGGCATTGGAGTCCGGGCACTGCCTGGAGCTCACCAGAAGGTGCTTTACACAGTGGTCCTCGGTTTGTCTCTCAGAGGGCTTGGTCACCTCTGCCGTGAGGCTGGACTGCAGCTGTGGTGGCAAGTGACCAGATGTCACTGAGCAGCCTGACCATGGTCTAGGCGGTGCTTGAATGCATCCACTTGGCTTCCTTTGGTCATTGAGTTTCAAGAAGACAGACTCCAGGAGGCGAATTGGCCAGGATCAGGCAAAAACAATCATGCCGGAAAAGTGGTGGAAAAGCTAGAAGCTCTCTCAGTGAAGGAGGAGACCAAGGAGGATGCTGAGGAGAAGCAATAAATTGTCTTATTTTATTTCCTTTTCCTCTCTTTCCTTTCTTTTAAAAAAAAAAAAAATTTACCCTGCCTCTCTTTTTTAGTTTGTTTTTATTCTTTCATTTTTATAAGGGACATTATATAAAGAGCTAAATTTTAAAAAAAGAAAAGAAAAAGAAAAGTGGAAAAGGGCTAGGTAGGGAAACACTAGGGTTCCTTTTCCCTCTCTCGAGTTCCTCCTCCCAGAAAGAAAAATTCCAGCAGGACCTGCACAAAGTGCCTCGTGGCATTCAGAGTCCCCATGCCCACTCCCTACCCCACCCCACCGTCCAGGCTGCTGAGTCCAAGTACCCATAGAACCTGGCGCCTTTGGCTCCCATCTCTAAAGCCCCCAGTGCTTTCCTGTGGGTCTGCTCTTTCCGAAATAACCTGTCTTTGCTTTTCTTTTCTCCAGGATCAAGCACTTCTTCTACTACATGATTTCTTTTCTCCTAGCCACGATTCCCTCAGTCCAGTGCCTCCTTGCTCCTTTCCAGTCTTCTGTCCTGGGAGGCTGAGATTTATGGGTCTTCCTTCCCTCCACTACCAATTTCTATTTCCTTGACTATGCACCTCTCTATAAGGTCTTTTTGGTTTCACTGCTCACATAGCTTTAGGTATACTGCCTTTCCCCATTGTTGGAGCGTGAGGCAGTTAGGCCACAATGGCATTAAAGCCTAAAGTGAGGCATGTTCACCGTGAGCAAATTCACACCATCCCAGGATGCACCTGACTCCGGAAGTTGATGAGGCTAATGATGCTAACGTGTACCTGGATCCCTGAGGTCCGCTCCCAACATCAACCCTTCAACCTCAGCTGGGTTCTAACAAAACCCCCTGTCATCTCCACGTTGATCTTTGTTGTCATACTCATCACAGTGCTTTGGTATGGGAGGTGTTAGGAAACTTAGAGACTAGAATTGTGAGGGTTGGGACCTTGTAACTCCAACAAGCACCGAAGAAGGTATCTCTACAGTCCTTTCTTCTATAGAGCTGGAACCGCCACCCACCCCCCCAACCCCAAGTGTAAACCCTCTCCTCCTGCAGGTTCAAGCTCCTCAGTCCCAGGGAACTAAAACCGAATAATGTGAGGAAGCAGTGGTGTTTCAGCTCAAACTGTAATCTGGATCCAGAAACTAGCCCTAAACAGCTCATGGCTTCTCAGGAAGCTTTATAAAAGAACTATCTCACTCATATTCTGCCTGCTTTCTCATCTTCCCTCCTGGGAAAATGAAGTCCAGTTAATGGAATCAGCACCTTTCCTACATTCCTGGTAGATTAACCCTTGGCATTAAGCAGATAGATATTTCTAAGATTATTCTACCAGTTTCATGAAGGCTAAAGGAAATTCCTTTTGATTTCATCCCTGTTACTTAGGGGTCAGGGATAAGGATGGTAGAGTTGATTGAGGCCCTAGATCAGGACCATTGTCAGAAAATGAATGGCATGGCCGGGCGCGGTGGCTCACACCTGTAATTCCAGCACTTTGGGAGGCCGAGGAGGGTGGATCACAAGGTCAGGAGTTCGAGACCAGCCTGGCCGGCATGGTGAAACTCCATCTCTACTAAAAATAAAAAAATTAGCTGGGCGTCGTGGTGCGCACCGGTAGTCCCAGCTACTCAGGAGGCTGAGGCGGGAGAATGGCTTGAACCCAGCAGGCGGAGGTTGCAGTGAGCCAAGATCGTGCCATTGCACTCCAGCCTGGGTGACAGAGCAAGACTCTGTCTGAAAAAAAAAAGAAAGCAAGAAAATGTAATTGCCTCTGTCTCTGAGGAACAGCGCACTGAAAACCAGAGACTACTTGTGTAAGTCTCGAACTGTAGCTATTTCAACAACCGCTAACCAAAACCTATTCCTCCCCCTCCCTCAGTCTAATTGCCGAGTTACTGTCAGCATTTCTGCCAGACATTTCAGAATCTCTAATGCATTAATGCACTTAGTAGCATTCTCTCTAGTGGGCTTGGCCACTGGGTTCTTGAGCTCCATTCTCAGGGACCCTGCCTACTTCAGCACAGGGAAGGGATAACTCAGACAAGATACCCAGAAGAGGATGAGCCCCCAGCAACTCATGGCCCAGGGGCCTTTCCATCATGGCCACTTGTATATTGGCTACTACACGGCTCCTGTTTTTTCTTTAAACACATGAGTTATTTTCCTGGAAAATCTGCAAAAATAGGTAGTCGATTGAATTGATTAAGAGGTTCCTGAGCCTTGAAATTCAGTAATGCATAATTTGCCTTCAGAATTGTTTACCTTATTTTTAAGAGTACAGGTTAAAATGGGCCTGTAGGTGGAGGCTGCAGTGAGCCGAGATCACGCCACTGCACTCCAGCCTGGGCGACAGAGTGAGACTCCATTTCAAAAAAAAAAAAAAGAGTACAGGTAAAAACAATGAACAATCTGTCTGTTAGGAGTGATGGAGTGGGGAAAAGTCCC